TAGGAGCCTTGTCTCTGAACGCTGTTTCTGATCAGCAGTCTTCCTTGTCCCCACTGTCAGTGTCCCAGGATGGAGCTGACATTTCTCTCACGCCCGAGCCTCGGTGTTCCCATGACCGTGTCATCTCTACCACCTAGCGCTGGGCCATCAGGGGCAGAGCTTGCCTTGGCACACCCAGTGTCTCACAGGGGTTCACTTTGCTGGTGAGGCGCTTCTTGAGGATTAAAATGCTCCCTTCCTCCAGTGTTTGACTGGAAAACCCAACAAAGGTGTTCATCCCCTCCTGATTTCTCTGGACAGATGAAACATGTGGGTGGTTTCCAGGGCTAACCTAAGCCTCCAGAGGGTGAGCGGGAGGGGTGAGCAGTGAGCAGATCAAGTGACCTATGAAAGGGGACCCTCGCCGTCCACCCACCTCCAGACTGGCTGGGGAGGTTTTCTGTGGGATGGGAGAAGAGTCCAGATGGGGCCGAAAGGACGTACTGTCTTTGATATTCTACACCCTGCTCATGCTCAGTTTCCCCTTTTGCCCTATTTCAGCCTTGCACTAAGCAGAAGGCTGTGAGTTTTTTCTCTTTAAAAAAAAATAATCACAAACCTCTTTCAATTGTGCTCATTCTGCTACCACTGAAGATGTGGGAAGAGGTGTAGGTGGCTTTTCTTTTTTAACAATAGGTACAAGCTGTCAATTCATTCTAGGGAAAACCCACCTCCTACGGTTTCTGGAAAAGACACTTTAATGTCAAAAGGGAAAATAAGCCTCCTGATGTGGTTGCTTAAATAACTCCTGATCAATCTAATTTGAATATAAAATGGCCTATATCAATTCATTTACTTTTGCGAAGAAGGAAGAACTCTTCGCGGGAAGCTGGAGGTGTCCACCTCAACCCACAGGGTCAGTTCAGAATCATCTCCTTCCCCACAGCTGCAGCTATGGCTGGAAAAGGCAAGCTGGCCAGGAGCCAGAAAGTCATGCTTCAGCCTCTGGTGGCCGTGGGAGTGGACTCATGTCCTTCGCCTCCCCTCATGGACGCTCACTATCCTCATCTGTAAAATGGAAGCATCCCTGCTGACTGCAGAGGATGGATGTGAAATGATAACACATCCTCTGGACAGACACATCCCCTGAAGTCCTGAAGAAATGGGACACAGAACATACTGTGGCAATTTTGACTTAGAGGAAAGTTTAAGTCACAGTCAAAATTCTGCATGGATGTTGTCAGGCTGAATAAAAGATCAAGACACAGGAAATCCACTTTAGATCCACACAGACACATCGGTTAAAGTGAAAGGATGGAAAAAGACACAGAGGGATGTTTCATCATGCTAACGTCACTTAACCAAGGTGTAACCATTGTAAATGTGTACACAATGAATGGGAGCGTTTCAAAACACACTAGACAAAAGCAGACACAACTGAAAAAATAAATGTAAAAATCCTCAATTTTAGGTAACGATGTCAACAGTTCTCTCTCACTAATTGGCAGAACAACTCCACAGAAGATTAAGAGGAATGCAGACGACTTAACACAATCAACCAACTTGACCGAAGCGAATTCCTAGGAAGGGAAGCAGGCCTATACAAGGCACTGTGGCTTCTGTCTTATTCTCTCTTCCACCTATTTATTCTTGGGGAAGCCTCCGCCATGTCATGAGAGCACTCAAGCAGCCCTCTGAAGAGGCCCATCTGGGGAAGAACTGTTACTTTTAGATGCCTGCAGCCCAACACCTTGATTATAAACTTACTATGAGACTTTGAGCCAGGGATGCCCAGCTCAGCTTCTGCCAGATTTCTGACTCACGAAATACTGCGTGAGACAATATGCTTATTGTTTCAAGCCACTACATTTTGGGGTAAATATTTATGTAGCACAAGACGATTAATACAAAGGGACAGCAAAAGTATCTGAGGAAACAATTGGCTGAAAATTTTCCAAATAGAATGTAAACTATAAACCCACAGAGCCAGGAAGCGTAAGAATCCCAGGCAGGATAAAAGGCAACTATGCCAAGGCATATTATAATCAAACAGGTGACAAGGAGAAAATCTTGAAAGCAGCCAGCAAAAAAGACACTTTATATACAGAGGAGAAAAGACAAGAACAATAACAGTCTTCATGTACAGTGCAGCGTATGGTCCATCACAATTAATATGAAAAAAGTGTGTATTCTCCCTTTGGGGATGTTGATTTTTATAAGTATCAGTTCAACGAAGGTGGTTAAAGGGATACCAGTGCTCAGCTTTTCCATGTCTTCTCTCAGTTTCTGTCTAGTTGTTCTATCAATTACCGAGCAAGAGGTACTAAAATTTCCAGTCATGTTTGTGGATTCTTTTCACCAGGTAATTTTGTCAAATTCGGCTTCATTCATGTTGAAGATCCATTAACAGGTATGTATATTTTTTGTCTATTGTATCTTCCTTATGAACGTCCCTTTGCTATAATTAATTTATTACGTTCTTATGAAATGTTCCTCTTTATTTCAGTGATTGCGCCTTGTCTAGAAATTTATCTGATTTTAATACAACCTCTTCAACCAACCTTCTTATGCTTATCATTTGCATGGTGTATCGTTTTCCACCTATTTACTTTCAATCTATCTGATCTTTATATTAAAATGTGTCTCTCGACAGCAGGTTGGGTCTTCTTCCTTCCTCTCTCTCTCTCTCTCTCTCTCTCTCTCTCTCTCTCTCTCTCTCTCTCTCTCTCAGAATGTTAAATCTGTTAGCACAACTTTTTATATACTTGGATTCAGGTCCATTTGTCTTCTCTTTTACATTCCCCTATGTTTCTCCTTTCCTAATTTTTTTTGTTTTCATTTGGTCCTTAATAGAATATTTTTTGGAATTCTGTTTATCTGTCGACTTAATTAACTATGTCTATTTGCCATCACTTAACAATGAATTATTTTCTTGTAAGAATATCTAAGTAGATTCAATTACATTCTAATTCATCAACAATCACAAAAAAAAAAAACAACTAAAAAGATAACACTTGAAACAGCATTAAATAAAGAGCAGCACCTAGAAAGAAGTCTAACAAAAGACACTCAAGACCTATGGAGAAAATTCTAAATCTTAGTTGAAAGACACAAAGGAAGCATTAAATAAATTACGAGATACGCCATGCTTCTGAGGAGAACTCAGTACTGTAAAGATGACAATCCTACTCCAGTTAATGTAGGAATTAAGGCAAGTCTAACCAAAATTCTAACGGACTATTTCATCAAACTTAACAAGGTAATTCTAAAATTTATGTGAATGATTAAGGGGCTGAAAACAGGAAGAAACTATTGAAAAAGGAAGACAAGGAAGAGGAGGTAGGGAAGGAAGGAAAGAGTGAGAGAGTCATACCCAAGATCAAGATTAATAGCAAAACTATTGTAATTAAAACTGTGTGGTATTAGTGCAGGAATACATAAACTGATGGGACAAAATAGAAGTTTTATGGAAACAATATGGAAGAATATATCTGTAGAAGAAAAAGAATTCAATACATGGATTTGGGACAAATGGCTTTACAAAGGGAAACAAGATAAAAATAGATCCTTACACCTACAAAAAGAAATAAATTCCAGTTGAACCAAAGATCAAAATGTACACACAGAATCCATACAATTTAAAAATAAATCCTGAGAGAATATGTATTAAACTAACACAAAAAGTACAACCAAGACAAAATTTAACTATCAAATGTGAAATTAAAAAAAGAAAGAAAGAAAAACTTTAGTATAACTAAAGATACTGCTGGAAAAATGAAGAGACGAGCCACAAGGAAGGAGAAGACATATGGATATATGCAATACTTACAATTGACAAAGGGTTTGTATTAGAATACATTTTAAATGTCTCCAAAATTTTTTTAAAGTGAAAAATGGGCGAAGGATACAGTCAAAGCATAGAGAAGGAAACCAGAGTAGACACCACAACCAACCTCAATAATGATAAAGAAAATGGGAGTCAAAGCAGTAAGTGATGCCCCATCACCCATCAGACTGGCAAAAAAGGGGAGCCGGATAGAGTTAAACACAGACAGTGAAGGTAGAATAGGGATTCCTGCACATTGCTTCACATTTGTGTTTGGGACAGGAGATGCCCAGAAAGGACCTAGGAGCTCATTCAGTTTATTAAGGTGTTTTCCCAGAAGCCCCATCCAATAACCCCTATTACATGTCATCAGCCACAACTGTGTCACATTGTCACCACATATGCAAAGAAGGCTGAAAAACATCTTTTTTTTTTTCTAGATCAACGATTGCCCAAACCTTGGTTTTTACAGTGAGAAAGACAGGGGACTGGGACTCTGTCACACTCCAGGACACTCTTTCTACTGGACTAGTCCGCAGCCAGAGACTCTGGGTTCAAAGGCATCTGCTGAAATCACTGATCCTTTTGTCCTTGGTCCCCATCCCAGCGAGAGCCACCATCCCTGGCAGACCGCAGATTTTTAGCAGTCTCCAGACTAGTGAACTCCAGAATGCAGAACACTGATTCCCTTCCCCAGCACCCCAACACCCAACAGCCTCTCCTGGGAGAAATACCAGGAAAGCATCAGGAGCCCATCAGAACTGCACATGAATGGAGGCATCATGATGACCACAGGGTCACAGGACAAAAGTCTCTATGGGAAGAGGGTACCGAACAGAGAAAGGCAATGAATGAGTCTCTCAAGGCTGGCTTCCAGCCTTGGAACCACCGCCTGCCACTGTGAATTTGGAATGTGGGACAAAGCCAATGCTCTTGGTTAGAGACCACAGCCAGTGTCTGTTCTGGCTCCCTGGCATCCCTTTCCCTCCTCTGGGAACCATAACCCAACTTCCCAACTTCCCTCTGAGCAGGACTCCTGCGGTCTCCTTCAAGCGTGGGTTCACTCCCTGGGCCAGAGGTGGGCCACGTGACCCAAGCCTAGCTAATCAGACCCAGGCCTCAGTGATTGGTCAGGGACTGTCACGTGGCCCAACCACAGCCAATGAGGCTCTAGTTGGGGAATGCTGGGAAAGACTCTTGCTGCTTCCTGCTAGGAGTGAGGCTTGCTCTGCTGCCGCCATGTTATGAATGCCAGGAGGAAGCTGGGGAGGGGTCAGCAGAGCCCCGGAGGGTGTGACCAGAGCAGGAGAGGGCAGCCGTGTCCTGGGGCCTGCGAGGCCTAAACCAGGACCATCCCTAACACCCCCGCTCCCTTCCTGCACTTCGTTTTCACCATCCAGTGCATTTTGGGTGAATCTAATTCAGGTTGGGGGTTTTTGCCTCTCACAAGTAGACTTCCGGGTACCTTGAGGCCAGAGGTCCAGGGCCACGGGTGGGCTGTGTGAGGTCCAGGGCCACGCGTGGGCTGTGTGAGGTCCAGGGCCACGCGTGGGCTGTGTGAGGTCCAGGGCCACGGGTGGGCTGTGTGAGGTCCAGGGCCACGCGTGGGCTGTGTGAGGTCCAGGGCCACGCGTGGGCTGTGTGAGGTCCAGGGCCACGCGTGGGCTGTGTGAGGTCCCGGCCCTGTGGCCTGGCCCAGCCGGGCCTTCCGACAGCAGCCAGGCAGGCCCTCCTTCCCTCCACCGCCTTGCGATGGGCCTAATTTATTGTAGGAAACCCTTAAAGGCGCAGGAGCTTTTGGAGAGCTGGGGACAATAGGCATAAAGCATGCATTTAAGCCGTCTGAATGGAGGCTAGATTTACTGTCTGGGCCAGACGGGATTTTTGTCCCCAAGTCATCTCGGAGTACATTGGCCACTAAAGATCTCAACAGAAGACGAAGACGGAACAAAGGAAGTAAATTTTAAAAGGAACTTTGTCAAGGAGTTTTAGATGTTCACCAGATAGAAAACCGCGGCTGCCCTCACCGAAATGACTTTTGGATTTGCCCAGTGGTTATGGATCAGAGGAAGATGCTAATGAAGTCGTTTAAATGCACGTTTGATGGACCCCAGAGAATGGGGCCAATTTCATACAAGCCCACAGCAAGGTTATGGAATCAAAGAAGGTGGCCGTTAGAGTTGCTGCCAGGGACAAGGCTCCATTGTCGAGGCTGCCTTTTTCAGCCGTGAAGCGTGAAGCGTGTTTTGAACTACAGTGTTTACCAGCGTGTACATCCTAGTCTGGCCGACTGGGCCTGCAGAATTTATGACCAGGAACAAACCTCTCAGAGGGGAAAAGAAAACAGCTCTTACCAGCTGGGAAAGGTCTGCGGAGGGCCCTGCGTGCTGCATGAAGCCCTCTGGATCCAGCCGGGCTCCGTGGGGGGCGGGCGGCACTGGCAAAGCTGGGGCCTGGCATTGCAGATGGAAGGAGTCTTGCCTTTTGAGAAGAACTCAAAAGGGGAAGGGGGCCTGCGTGCCCTTTGGGCTTCTGGACGGATTTCAGTGTTATCAGCATCTGGACTCCTCCTAGCGAGGTCTGCCTGTGCGCCTGGGCACTGCGGATTGCAGGCTGGGGATTCTGAGAAAGTTTTTGACACCCACTTTGGTGAATGGGGCCACTGTTGAGGGGACTGATGTTCGTGAGCTGACAGCCCCCCCGCCCCCGCAGGCCTGAGAATGGAGCGCCCTCTCTAAACCCCATGCAGGCAACCACTGACCTTCACGTTCACTCAACGCCCTTGACAGACGCCCCTTCTGCCCCTTGGCTGCCCCAGTTCTGTTCTGCATGTGCTGGTCCATGCATGGCTCCCCTTCCCTCAAGCAGACCCTGGTGCTACCATCCTGGCCTTAGTGAGCACCTGCCCTCTGTATGACCTGTCCCCACTTCCCTCAAGCAGACCCTGGTGCTACCATCCTGGCCTTAGTGAGCACCTGCCCTCTGCATGACCTGTCCCACCTGTAACCTCATTGCTGAGCTCCACGGTAGCTGCTGTCTGCCCAGATTGCGCCTCTCCTCCACCCCCTCTTGTCTCCCAGCCTCTGTCCAAGCAGCTCTCCTGTGCCTGGAACAGTGCTACTCAAAGCATGGTCCCTAAACCAGCAGTGTCAAGGTCGCTGGGAGCTGGGGGGACATACACATTCCCAGGTCCCATCTCACACCGACTGAATCAGCACCACTGGGGGTGGGGCTCAGGGATGTGTTTCAAGCACTCCAGATGACTCTTCTAGACACCAAGTTTTCAGAGCTACTGTCCCTGGATGGGGTGGCTCGTCTGCTCTTCCTAGTGACTGTCTATCTGCCTCTATCTGTATGTAGGAGCTTAGATCATGCCCTGGAAAAGCAGGTGACATCATGGAATTTTCCTGGTGAGAGCAGAAGGGAGGAGGAGCTCCTCCATTGTACAAACTGGGTCTGGGGCTCAGAGTCTTCCCTGCCTTCTTGCTGAGTGGCTGGAAATTTGGGAAGTTGTGGCAGGCCAGGAGGCTGGCTCCTCCCCACAAAGGGGGCTTTGGGGGCTAGATTCACATCCTAGGGCCATTCTAACAAAAATGATCCAAAACCAGGTGGATTAAAACAATAATTTGTTCTCTTGCGGTTCCAGATGCAAAGTCTGAAATGAAGGTGTCGAGGGCGGTTCCGTCAGGAGGCTCTGAGAGAATCACCCAGGCCTCTCTCCAGCTTCTGTGCTGCCAGCAGTCCTCGGTGTTCTCAGGCTTATAGCCACATCACCCGTGTCTGCCTCCATCCTCATGCAGCCTTCTCCTCTGTGTCTGTCTAAAGTCTCCCTTTCATTTCTCTTACGAGGACACCAGTCATTGGATTTAGAGCCCACCCTAAATCCAGGATCATCTCATCTCAAGATTACACGACACAGACGCCATTTCACGGTCACAGGTGCCAGGGGTTAGGATTTGAACATAACGTTTTGAAGGACATGATTCAACCCACAGCCAGTGCTCAGGGCGGTTGGGTGGGGGCCTGTGCTGGGGGCCCAAAAGCCAGGGCGTGAAGCTGCACTCCACACTCAGCCTGTGACACCTCCCACAAGCTTCTTCACCTCTCAAGCCTCAGCTTCTACTTCTGCAAACAGGGGACAATAAAAGTATCTCCCTGCCCCACATTGAAGGGTCTCCAGTTCCATTGTCTACACACTGACCCAGGAGTTACCTGAAATTGCGGTTCATCTGCTTAAACCTTCTGGGTTTCCAGCACCCCCCAGATGTCCCCACCCTCTAGTCCCTTATCAGGACACTGGCCCTGTGTGGTCTTCCCGCCTTCCTTGCCAGCTGCCTCTCTCCTCACTGGGACCTGAGCGGCACTGCAGAGCGTGCAGGTCTTCTCTCATCTCTGTGCTTTGCCTCCACTCTCTGACTTCTCTCTCATCCCCCTGAGTGAGAGATGAGGGGGCAAGGGAGGGAGAAGGGTTAGAGAGAGAGAAGGGGTGGGTTGGGGGAGATGGAATCTGCAGTCTTTCATACCCTGTGGAGATGCCCCGTGTAAGCCACTGAAGCCTCTGGCCAACCGCAGCGAGCACCTGAGATGCGTCCGCAGAGTGGGCGGGAGCTTGGAAGCGGATCCTCCAGCCCCAGCCAAGCCTTCAGATGGTGCAGCCTCAGGAGCAACCTGACTGCAGCCTTGTGAGACCCTGAGCCAGAAACACCCCACCAATCCACTCCCAGACCCCTGGCCCTCACAACCTGGGAGGTAATAATTACTTACGGCCGTTTGAAGCTGCTATGTCGGGTATAATTTGTTACACAGTGATAGCTAACTGGTACAGTCCCGGGACTCCCAGCAGTTTGGAATATCAGTCATTTTAGCAAGGCCAGGAAGTTAACTGTGGGTCATTGCAGCAGCTGCACTTGGAGATTACGATAAAGAAGCTTTCTCAGACTGGTTTGAACAAGGTGGTGAATTCCTTGCAAGGACACAGAGGTGTCTCTCAAAACCCAAGGACAGGGGACAGCAGGCCTCAGGAGGAACTGGAACCTCCATCCCTTCTCTCTGCTTCTCTTTACTCCTCTGTTCTCAGCTTCTTGGAGTACTTGGCAGTCAGGAAGTGGTCATTTCAATTCTTCAGGTCAGGAGACCAGCTCAGAAATAACTCCACCAACACAAGTGTTGGTCCGTCTTCGTCTTGGCTCCATTTGTCACGGCGGGAGATGGTGATGAAGAGAAACATCAGGACCCTTGGTAGGCACCGCAGGTGAGAGAGAGGAGAGGCCAGCTCGAAGAGAAGGCTGCGAGAAACACCCATGTGTCTTGCCAGCATGACACGTGGCACATCCTTCTTTCAGGAGGCAAGTGTGTAGCCAAAGGCAGGTGCAGGGTTCAAAAGTCAGAAACTGGACCAACTGTTTTCTCCCACCCTGAGCACTAGGGGGAACTCTCCTCACAAATCCACCATCCGCCGTCACCAGCTGTGCTCATCTGACCCTTTATGCAGGCACGCGCTAGACCCGACTTGGGTTCTGTCCCCTTTGCTTGAGGACTGAAAGGCCTGGGAGACGCAAAAGCTTCGGGCTCCAGCCATCTCCCCATGTCAGGTGGGCCTTTTGCCCAGTGTGTCCAGTTGGTGATGCTACAAAGATGCACGAAGCTGGATTCAGAGGCCACCTGTAGTGCTGCCCTGACTTCAGACCTGAGTTGGGACCAGCAGCAGGGAGGGGACTGGGAGCCAGAGGAGGCCTCACGGTGGCAGCACAGACAGGTAGGGGTCCAAGACAGGCCACACATGTTCAAACTCAAGTGTGGGCAGAGGAGCATGGGCAGCCCGGAGCCCTGAGCTCACCCCACACCTGACATGAATGAGGTCACCCAAAATCAGCCTGTCACACTGTCCTGGCAGCCAGTCACATGCTACACTGGTAAACAAATATTGCACAGGCCAGCAAGCAGGACCCGTGCAGCAGCCATCCTCCTTAACTGGCCTGTGGGGGCCCCGGGATGATGCCATCGCCACAGGTCTGGAGTTCCTCAAGGTACCTGGTCAGCACAGCTCAGTTGAACAATGGGCAAAAGACCCGAACAGACCCCTCACCAGAGAAGATGTACAGAGGAAGTAAGCCTCCACAAAGGTGCACGTCCGTGTCGTGTGTCGCTAGGGAACGGACGGCACCAATGGCTGCTGAGCCTGTGGAGCAGCAGGAACTCTCATTAGCTGCTGGTGAGAAAAATGGCACCGGCCCAAGAGGGAACCCTGACGCAGACCCTGGGCCTCAGCGGAAACGCTGTGTCACTGCAGCTGCCCCGCTCTGGTGCGGGTGCTGATAACGGGCTGTGCATGCGGGGAGAGAGGACCCACGGGAACACTCTGCTTCCCACCTGCTTTTGCTGTGAACTTAAACTGCTGTTAAAAATACTGTTGTTTGTTGCTGTTGCTTTAGTACCTCGTCAACTCCACACGTGACTCGGGCAGAGTGGGAAGTTGTGGAGTGCCCCAAGGAGAGAAACAGGGAACCGGGTCTCATGTGGAGCCAACTGTGGGCTCCCTGTCCCCTCAGCCAGCCCCAGGAACTGGAGGGAAACTTAGACAACCTGGAAAAAGACACTCTAGGGCTCAGGGCAGAGGGCAGTGCTGATGACAACCACATTTTTTCATTGCTGGTGTCAACACTTGTATTTTTCTGATTTCCCATTGGTTTGATAGTGAGAGGGTAAAAACAAAGCCGGTTTTTGTTTTTGTTTTTGTTTTTCTGAGATGGAGTTTCACTCTTGTTGCCCAGGCTGGAGTGCAATGGTGCAATCTCAGCTCACTGTAACCTCCACCTCCCAGGTTCAAGCGATTCTCCTGCCTCAGCCTCCCAAGTAGCTGGGATCACAGGCATCCATCACCACGCCCAGCTAATTTTTTGTATTTTTAGTAGAAACAGGGTTTCTCCATGTTGGTCAGGCTGGTCTTGAACTCCTGACCTCAGGTGATCTGCCCACCTCAGCCTCCCAAAATGCCGGGATTACAGGTGTGAGCCACTGTGAGCACCTGTAATTATAGGCGTGAGCACCCAGACAATAAAGCAGTTTTTTAAAGCTTTTGTTTAGTAGTTTTTGTTTTTTGTTTTTTAATAAAACTTCCCCCAAAAACCTGACATAAAAAAACTAACAAAAGAATTCCTGGTTTGGTAGGGAGGCACCATTTTTTTTTCAGTGTGATGTCGGTTTTATTGAGTAGAGGAAAAGGGAGTTGAGCCTCATGATACCCACATTCCAGTTGATTAGAATGCAGACACTCTTCCCGTCTGTGTATGGGAACTGCACCAACACAGGGGCACTGCTGTAAGGAGGAGGTTCCCATGCCTACGTTCATCAGCAGCTCCTGGTCAGTCCCAAGAGGCAAGGGCAGAGGCACCATGACCCCCACACCATGACCGCCACACCTTCCATTCCCAAATCAGAAGCTCCATGAGGGCAGGCAGGGCAGCCTTGTCTAGTCATTTGAGGGACTGAATAGAACAAAAGTCCGGCCCAGTCCCAAGTAAAAGAGACTTCTCCTGTCTGACAGTCTTTGAATGGGAACTTTGGCTCTTCCTAGCTCTACAGTCGTTTCTGGCCTTCACGCTCAGACTCTGCAGACTATGAACTTGCCAGCCTACATAGGCACATATCCAATTCTTTATAAGATAGATAGACAGACAGACAGGCAGGCAGGCAGGCAGGCAGGCAGGCAGGCAGACAGATAGACAGATAGACAGACAGACAGATAGATAGATAGACAGGCAGGCAGACAGATAGACAGACAGATAGATAGACAGGCAGATAGATACACAGACAGACAGACAGATAGATAGACAGGCAGGCAGACAGATAGACAGACAGATAGATAGACAGGCAGATAGATACACAGACAGACAGACAGATAGATAGACAGACAGACAGACAGGCAGGCAGGCAGGCAGACAGATAGACAGACAGGCAGGCAGGCAGGCAGGCAGATAGACAGATAGACAGACAGACAGACAGATAGACAGAGAGGCAGGCAGATAGGTAGACAGACAGGCAGGCAGATAGACAGATAGACAGACAGACAGGCAGAGAGACAGGCAGGCAGATAGATAGACAGACAGACAGGCAGGCAGATAGATAGACAGACAGGCAGGCAGGCAGATAGACAGACAGACAGATAGACAGACAGGCAGATAGATAGACAGACAGACAGGCAGGCAGACAGACAGACAGACAGACAGACAGGCAGACAGGCAGTCAGACAGGCAAGCAGGCAGGCAGACAGATAGATAGACAGAGAGAGAGAGAGAGAGAGAGAGATAATAGACAGACAGATAGATAGATTTCTGTATATGTATATATCCTATTGGTTGTTACCCTGGAGATCCCTAACTAATACAGATCTGCCCATTGGTGGTGCTGCTGTTCTCCCAGGGGTTAGAGAACTCTCCTCACTTTACCCCTGACCCCTATGGGCATCTTCCGTCTCTGTGTGTTGAGAGGACCACAGTGGGATGATCTGGTGTCCACTCCAGCTCTGCAACCAGGATGGCCGTAGAGCCCACATTAAAGTCCAATGACACCACAAGTAAAAACGGGTGCCAAGCTGCTCCCGTTTTCCCAGCCCCATGCCACATTCATGACTGGTTCCCCAACAATCCCTGTGGGTCGCTGCTGCATTCCCCTGATGAGTCTTTCGGCCTCTTCCCTGGCCTTTCCAATGCACCCACATAAAATACACTGAACTTCATGAAAATGAAAATACAGCACACCAGTATTAGCGGGACACAGATAAAACGGTACTGAGGGGAAAATTATAGTACAAAACACATACGGTCTAACAGAGGGAAAAGCCTCAAAACCATCTCAGTTCCACCTCAAGAAACTAGAGAAAGAGGAGAAAAATAAACCCAAAGAAAGCAGAAGGAAAGAAATAACAGAGAAGAGCAGATATGAGTAAAATTCTCTCAAGGATTCCCTGACCATGGTCCTCCTCTACTGCCAGCCCTAATGGCCTCCCATCACCCACAGAGTGAAGTCCAAGCTAGGTGACAGGGTCAACCACATGATATGGTCCAAGGATCCATCCCTGCCAAGGTTCAGCCTCATCTCCGGACACGCTCCTTCTTAAACTTCCTAAACTTTCAGCTCCTGTAAAGTTAAACTTCTAACGGTGCCCCATGGGTGTCAGAATATTTCCTGACTCCTCACCTTTCAGCTGTGGTTTGCTCCCCAAGAGGTACTCGGTTCCAAGCCCGAATCCTGGCCCACAGTTGACACTAACAATGAAGCAATGAGTAATGAGTCTAGAACTGGCCCTCCCCTGTACAGTCTTCTGATTTAAGACATAGGAACAACTGCAGTCAGGGGGAAGGAAGGGCGATCTTTTCAGTAAATAATGCTGGGGTGACCAGATAGCCAGTGGAGAAAAATAAACTCTTATCTCTAATTTATGCCATGCACAATGATTAATTTTTCCTCCACCCGTCACTAATGAGGCAGCAGTGACTTCTTTTCTTGCCACAGCAATGTCAAAAGAAAAACAACCCAGACAAACCACAAGATCAAAATAATACAGAAACATCCAGGTTTCAACTGGAAATCACACATTATACCAAGAATCATGAAGATCTCAAGCTGTGTGAAAAACAACAATCAATAGATGCCAACACAAGATGACAGAGATGTTAGAGGGACCTGAGAAACAATTAAGGGAGCCACGACAGAATGCTTCCATGATCCATTATGAATACACTTGAAACAAATGAAAAAATAGAAAGTCTTTGCAATGAACTAGAAGATGAGAAGAATCAAATGAAAATTTTAGAACTGAAAAATACAATATGTGAAATAAAAAACTCACTGATCCCGGAGAGAGATCCAAGATGGCTGACCACTAGCAGCTCAGGCTTGTAGCTCCCAGTGAAAGCGCAGAGAACGAGAGGATGCCACACTTTCAGACGAATCTTTCCTGCACAAGGACCAGGAGATTCCCAGCGGAGGAGCCCCACGGGTCACCAGCGCAACTCTTGCAGCTGGCTCTGCGGTTTTGCTGGTGCCCTGGCACAGCGGTTCTTGGTGCAGAGTAAACGGGACTGGTTCCCTTTTTGGCCGATGTTTGAAGCTGATTGAAGAAGGGATTCAGGAGGGAAGCCAGATGGGAGACTCCCGGACAGAAAAGAACCAAGAATCTTGATGCCGCTGTTTTAGCAGCGCAGTGGGTTGCTCACATTTTGGCCCTGGGAATTAACAAGTTGGATGTCCACTCAGAGACCTAATTTGAAAGTTGGTAATTACAAAGACGACAGGTGGATAAATTTACAACGATGGGAAGAAACCAGTGTAAAAAGGCTGAGATACCCAAAATCAGAATGCCTCTCCCTCTACAGAGGATCACAGTTCCTCATCAACAGGGGAACAAGGCCTGATGGAAAATGAGTGCATTCCAATAACAGAATTAGGCTTCAGAAGATGGATAATAAGAAACTTCTGTGAGTTAAAAGAACATGTTGTAGCCCAATGTAAAGAAACTAAGAACTTTGAAAAAAGGTTTGACAAAATCCTAACGAGAATAGACAACTTAGAGAGGAATATAAGTGAATTAATGGAACTGAAGAATACAATACGAGAACTCCACGAAGTATGCACAGGTTTTAACACTCGAATTGATCAAGCAGAAGAAAGGATATCAGAGGTCAAAGACCAACTTAATGAAATTAAACGAGAAGGCAAGATTAGAGAAGAAAAAGTAAAAAGGAATGAGCAAAGTCTCCAAGAAATATGGGACTATGTGAAAAGACCTAATTTACATTTGATAGGTGTACCTGAATGTCATGAAGAGAATGAATCCAAGCTGGAAAATATTCTTCAGGATATTATTCAGGAAAACTTTCCCAACCTAGTAAGGTGGGACAATACTCATCTCCAGGTAATACAGAGAACACCACAAAGATATTCCTCAAGTAGAGCAACCCCAAGACACATAATTGTTAGATTCACCAGGGTTAAAATAAAAGAGAAAATTCTAAGGGCAGCTAGAGAGAAAGGTAAGGTTACCCGTAAAGGGAAGCCTATCAGACTCACAGCAGATCTCTCAGCAGAAACCCTACAAGCTAGAAGAGAGTGGGGGTTAATATTCGATATCCTCAAAGAAAAGAATTTTCAACCCAGAATCTCATATGAAGCCAAACTAAGCTTTATAAATGAAGAAAAAATAAAAATTTTCACGAACAAGCAAGCACTCAGAGATTTCATTACCACGAGGCCTGCTTTACGAGAGCTTCTGAAAGAAGCACTATACACAGAAAGGAACAACCAGTATCGGTCATCCCAAAAACTTACCAAAGGGTAAAGAATATCTCCATAATGAAGAATCTATATCAACTAATGGGCAAAATAGCCAGCTAGCATTAGATGACAATA